CCTTGTTTATTTCTCAGTTAACCTCAAAATCCAAAAAGCCCTCATATATCTAATTCGAAGGAGAGGTGGAAGCATGATTAAGAGCGCTTCGTCAACAGAGCTCACTTGCTCACAATTTTACCGATGGCTTCCTTTCCCGAGCATTGATTAGAAGCAAGTGCTAAAGTGTTCCAAACTTCTGCCATGTCCCAGTACCAATTTACCATCAAAACGAATGAACGAACCATTAGAAGATTGGTTTTGACCGATCTGGCCCATCGGATTCAGTCTGGGAACAGAAGAAATTTCTATTATTATTAAACTCTGAATGTCTTAAGTCAAAAACCAAAAATTACCCATCCACAATGTGCGGATATTTGATACGAATCCAGGCAGCAAGCATTCCACCATACGAACCACCAAATGCTATCACCGATGATTTTCGTGCTTCAGCAAGGCGCTAAAACAAACAGAGCGCCAAATAAGAACTCAAACTGACTGTAGATTTAATAACACAATATCACTATGCGAGTTTATCACAAAACATAAACTACAACGCAAAGATGCTTACTACAACAATTCATATTCACTAAGACATCTCATCATGCTGATAACCCTCAGCAAGCACATACACACACACATACACACACACACACACACACAAACACACACCAGTTACATCTTGAGAAAGCTAAAGCCTTGCTAAATGCTTCTGTAGGAAGAACCGATGAATTGACAAGCTCGTCACCAAATGAAATGAACGTCAAAATCGCCAGAAGGCTGACCGGCGGCACTGCAGCATAAAGCATTTGGAAAGGTTATTGGCTGCATAACTGGGGAACTAGTATGAACTGCAGCTTCTAAGCAATCCTTGGAAGAAGGAGCCCTCGACAATTTTGCCAGCTAGTGGTTGCTATCGGCATTTGTTATCACTCGGGCTATTACTCGAGTACTTCCGTCTCTCGTAAAGAATAAATACAGAGGGAGCTTGGACTTCTGACTTTGACCTGAAAGTATAATTAATGCAGTGTCGCAGCTGATGCTCACATCCAGAAATGACCAAAATGCACATCTTCTT